CTTGCAATATATTATATCTGATTCTCTTAATAAGCATCACATTTGTGAGATATATGTCCCTTTTTCTAACTAAGCTACTTCTATGTCAATAAAGTACAATTTTGTTATCTCAAATTTTGCATTGAATTTTTTTTCTTTGTAGTTTTTTTTTTTTTCCTGCATTACTATAACGGATAACAATTATCTCATCAACATATGTAATAAGAATTATCATTCTTCCTTTAGTAGAGTGTTTTATAAAGAGTGTATTATCTACTTCATTTTATCTATATACCATCCTACACATAACGTTTATGAATTTTTCGAAACACACCCCTGGAGATTAATTCAACTCATATAATGCATTTTTTAATTTGCATACCTAATATTTTGATTATTGAATGATAGCGGGGAATCCATCAAAACTTCTTCTTTTCTATCATCATGCAAAAAGGGATTCTTTATATCATATAACTGCATGGACCATCTATGGTTAGCAACTAAAGAAATCAGGATACAAATTTCATTACTTTTTATAACTGGAGCAAATCTTTTGCACTAGCTAACTCAATAGAATTGGATATATCATTTTGCCACTAAGCTAATATTTCAATGTAAACCCACCTACATCCTACAATTAATTTTTCTTTAGGTAACTCATCTATCTCCTAGATGTATATTTTTTTTCTAGGGCATTCATCTCTTCTCTTATGGTTTCCTTCCAATTATTATTTTATGTTGCCTAAAATAAGATATGTGGATTTTGATGGCATTAATATTGGTGAGGAAGGCTTTATGAGCCAAATGTTGTGTTCTAAGTCATAGAGCATATGGAATTTTTAGCGTCTTTTTAATATAACAATAGTTGATCAAGATCACAATTCGGAGAGCTGGAGATATTTACCTAACGGGGGTTGCAAATCTTGGACTTGCAATAGAATTTGGATGGCTTTGCCTTCTTATAAAGACTGGTGTGGCTTAGTATATAGAGAGTAAATCTTAGACGGGATCAAATTATTGTCTATTTTATTTTTGTATATTAGTAGTTGAACAATCAAGGAAAAAATATCAAGTTTATTAAATTGATCTTCTATGTGATTGTTGTCACCCTACAAATAAGTTTGATTAAAGAATAATTACTTTTCATCAAATATGACAACTTTTGATATAAGAAAATTTATAGTAGTTGGATGATATATCATTCCATTTAAGTGTGTGATTATCCTAAGAAATCAATTACTCTAAAAATTATCCTACTAGTCAAATATGCTGAGGTTAGAATGGCTTCTGCCTAATATCCTTTGGAAACTTGATTTCAAAAGAAGATTCTCGGTAACCTAACCTCAACTCATCCCATTTTATAGTAGGGTGTTCGGACATAAGGATAGATGAATAATAACTTCTTTGTTGCAAAAAAGGCATTATTGGTAAAAATAATCTTGCGCATAATTGATGCTAATTTTTTTAATATTAAAGTGAATATTGATTTTTTATTATATTGAAAGGGTTTGGAGAATATGACTGACATCATATTCTTGTTTGATATGATAAATAAATGACATTTAAATACAATTTTCAACAAATGTTATATAAATCCTTTAGCTTCATGCATATTGGGGATTTTAAAAAATAAATAAATATCAAAGTGAATTAACATGAAAGGAGTAAATAATGAAGATTCAAACAAGAAAAAGATACCTTACGATGTTTAGCAATTTCACAAGTTTTGAATTGAAAATTTTCAATGTCAACATTTTCAAATAAGGAGGTGTACATATATTTAAGAATAATAATAATGATCCCAACTAATATCTTTATTAGAAATAGACATATATGAAAGAGATTAATAAATTTTCAAACATTATCAATTCAAATTAGAATAGCCCATACTTTTGTTAAACTTAACATTCAACTTGCCCATAGTTACGTCATGAAAAACAAAATAATAAGTAAAAGATGTCACATTGCAGTTTTGATATTGGGTTATATATGAATAGATAAAAGGTTTACAGCAAAATAAGGGATATGTAGAATATTGTTAAGAGAAAGTGAAGGAGTGATGGGAAAATTCCCTTATCCTACAAGGGTAGTTAAGGAGCTAATGATAACTATAATTTTTCTATTACTAGGACATGGTTGATAAATTTGAAGGACATTGGCAAAGTTTTTCCTATAGTCAATGGCACTTGTATTGTGTGAAATATTCGAGGCATTAAAAATACAAGGACAAGACATTTCACCATTTAAACCTACAGAATATGACATAGATAATTTTTCTTAAAAATTGTGATATGTTCCTCAAACTATCATCACTTTCTCCCGAGTTGAGTCCTCCGATCCTTATGAAAAGAGCATATCCTTTTGATTGTCATTTTTTATATCTACTAGGGCATTGAGGTTGCCCAAAGAGGTTCTAATAGATTTCTTTTGAATTTGCCAACTTCTTGCATTAGTTGCACCATATATTATTTTTCTAGTGGAATTATTATCCTTCATTTTTTGAGGTCCCATACTTGTCATCACGGACATGATCAAATTATGTAGGGCATCATTTAAGGCTTAATTTCTAGCAAACTCTTACCTATTTCTTACCACTACATCATGATATTATATAGAGGATATGTTTTAGCTTAAGTTATATTGAATTAGTTTTATTTTGGTAGATTTTGTAATTAGTTATCAAACCAACATCAAGCACCAAACTTTTTTCATCCAAACTTGGGGCCAACAACAACTTGTATGGATTCATAATATTTATGTTAGTATTGCATGGAGTAGGAGAAATACATCATTACTATATATTCCTAACAGTTTAAAGTATTCTCCTTCTAAAATCAAGCACACACCGGAAATAACATGTCTATTGTGAGAGACACAAATCCTTCCAATCCTGTCCTGCATTATATTTACTAAGTAAATTGAGCTTTGGCTAAACTACTATTTGCCATTTACATAGTAAGCAAGCTCACTGAATCATATTTTTAGATAAGTCCCATTCTTAAAAACAATTATTATCTTACAAAAGCAAACAATATGGTAAATCATTGCTGCTGAAATTCATATTAGGAATAGAAAAGGTGATGAGGACATCGTCAGAGATTTCGACATATGTACCCTCAGGAGACACCGGAGATCGACGGCCGTGATCATGAGTTTTATTTTGAGTCATTTTATGTAGTAGTTTATTTGATTTTTATGTAATTCCGTTTTTGCCCTTATGGGTATTTAGTCGCTATTGTAGCCCAAGGGGTATTTTAGTCTTTTATTTTCTTTGTCATTTAGTGGCCTATATATATGGCCCTTTTTCTCATGTAAGAGGAGTTTTGATGAATGAAAAATATTTGCTTTGTGTTCTCTTTGTGAGTGCCAACCTCCACGATCTCTTAGTGAGTTCGTAGGAGAAACTAGATCTCTTTGTGAGTTCTAGGTTTTCCTTATCCTTCTCTTTTCTTTAATTCTCTTGATCAATTCGTCCTTGCGGAGACGACTCATTGTGGATCTCTTTGTGAGTTCCATGGGAGGAGACGCATGAGGTTTGAATCCCCTTTGAATTACTCCAAGTTTTCTCCCCAATTCTCTGGCCGCCGCCTTCCTCTTTCCCAAGCCCCTTGCCGCCGACCACCTTGGGCCGCCCAGGCCGCCGGCCACCACCACCTGAAAGTTCGTCCAAGCCGCCGCCCCCTCTTCCCCAATTTTCCTTCCCCATCGCTCCACCCGCCGGCCCCTCTAGCTCTCCTTTTTGAATTTTGAATTCCCCTCTCTTAATGACTTTTCTAATTAAGCCATATTAATTTGGGAAATTAATTAAGAGGAGTTACACATGTTTGAAATTCAAATTCAAATTCAAATTCACTCTTATTTTTATTTGAATTTGGGAGTTACTTATGATAATTAATTAAGATGAGTTACACATGTTTGAAATTCAAATTCAAATTCCCTCTTATTTTCATTTGAATTTGGGAGCTACTTATGATATAATTAATTCTGAAATTAAATGTCAGATTTTTATTATGCTTAATTAACTCCTTATGGTCCCCACTCATTTAAATTCTCAAGCCTCCTCACCATTATACATGGCCGGCCCCTCTCTCCTCTCTCTCCCCCATTAAGTCTCTTTTTATCCACCTCACCAATCTTCATTAATTGGTATCTCATTATGGATCCAATTAATTAAGATCCCAAACTTACTTCCCTCCTAATCCTCCCGATTTCAAATTTCAAAATTTCAAATTCTTGAAATTAAGAGCCCTCAAATTTCGGAAATCTGAATTAAATTTCAGATTTAGAGCTTTTTTCCCCCATAGCCTCACCCGCCCCTCTTCCCTCTCCAACCCGTGGCCCCCCCTCCTTCCCCTTGTTCACGGTTTGCTCTTCCACCTCCCATCTTCTCTCGGATGCTCCATCAACCACGGCTTCGTCTTTGATGATCAAGGAGGAAATGATAAGACGTTGGATGCTCTCTAGTCATCCCATGGACTACCCGCCATCGGCTACCACTCCAACGGACTACACTTTGTGCACCATTTGTCTCCTAGTGACATCGCTCGGTTGTTCTCAATCTTCCTCCATTAAAAGTGCCACCAACAAGAGAGTGAGTGAGAGACCCAAGATGAAAAGTTCTATTTGTTAATTGTGGATTATTGTTTCTCTCCATAACGTTACTATCTAATTCTATGTTGTTAATTTGATATTGTCCCATTAATCTAGTTGTAACCACATGCCTTACTTAATTTCGACTTGATAATTCTGAGAATTTAATTTGGGTAAGCATTAATTCTATAACTAGCAAAGCTTTAACACTCTTATATTAAAATCCCCAAGCAGTTCTTGTTTCCATGCATTACATTTCACATCAAAAGGTCATAAAATGCTGCTCAATGAGAAAGGAGAATATCAATCATATCACACAGAAGGATTGTACATTGCAAGCAACATTACCGAAATCCAAAACAGCAATAATATAAACATGGGGATAAAAATAACACTTATTGCTCCCATACAAGTTGAAATAAACGACTAACCTCCTATGAAGCATAATGCGATGCCCTAGCGGCCATGCTTGTGACCTGAGACTGAACACGTGCAGCTCGCAGCTTAGTTTCCAAGGCCCGATGAAAGAACTGCTCTCTCGACAGCGCCCTTACATTCTTCAAATACATATCAGATGGTATCGATCCCTCCTGCATTGCCTTATCCAAAGAATAGATTGTGTCTTCCACTGCAAGGTCCGCCGCAGTGCACTCAAGCAGCTGTCTGGAGAGCACATCAGCCGGCTGAAACACATTATCCACATCAAACTCGTGCGGCCACTTCCCCTCATTTTGCCTAACCCATCCCTCGAGCAAGTCCATGTTCATGAGCACAAGTCGGAGCTGCTGCTCCAGCCCCTCCTTCTCCTCCAACATTTCGCGGATCCCACAGGCGAGCTCTTGCTCCCGGCGCCGGAGCTCGGCCTGGATGGCGAATAGCCCCTCAATTTCCGCCTCCCGCGCTTTGTGGAGCCCGGCGATGTCAGCGTGGACAGCTTCAATTATCTTGTTTATGGCGTTTCGTCGGAAAACCTCATTGGCGTCTTCAGTCAGCCTACCCTGTAGCCGGGAGGCGTAGGGAGACAGTGAGGAGAAGAATCGGGATGCATTAGGGGGAGGGGAGGGGGATGGAATGGGATTTGGGGGAGGATTAGAGTTAGGGTTTTGGCGGGAGAAGAGAGGAGGGTCGTTACTGAAGATCTGGGAGAGGGAACGGACAAGGTCAACCAGGTTTGAGGAGGGGTAAACCCAGTTCTGGAGGTAGGGGACGTGGACGCAGCCGGAGCGATCGACGTGTGGATGATTAGCTTTCACTACCATCTGAGGGGTAGGATTGAGGAAGACAGAGGGAGGGGAAAGGGGGTAACGCTCGATGAGCCAGATGGATAATGGGATGTTGTAGAAGACGTTGCCAAATACGATGGGGATGGTGCCGTCAGCCTGGAGAAGGTTGACCGTGCGGCCATCGTTGTGGGTGAAGGAGGAAGTTTGCGGGTGCAGTGAGGGGTAGGCTTCGATGAGGGAGACGAGATGCTGGCGGATGAGCCACTTGGTCTCCTCGGCGTAGGGCAGGGCATAAGGGCCGCGCTGGGAAAGGGCAGTGCTGAGAAATTGAAGGGCGTCAATGGCGGACGAACCGGCCGGTGGCGGTGGCGGTGGCGCCATCGCTGGCTGGGGAGGAATAGAACAGATTTGTGGGGTAACGACTGATTTGCGGACACATAGAGCAGATTTTCAAAAATAACTTCCTTTAAAAACTTTGAAAATTTAAAATTATACATCACTCATTCTAAATATATTATTATGAATGGAAAATAAAATGAGAACAATAAAAATAAGAAAAAGGTTATATATATATATATATGTTGTGTCCTAGATTATTCGCGGCGGTAGAGAAATATATAGTTTAACGTCTTAGCATTGTACGAAGATCCATCACACAATCAGATAAGTGAGAGGGTGTAGCGTTCATAAGAGACACCAGAGTTTTTACGTGGAAAACCCTTGAAAAGGGGGAAAAACCACGGGGCCTGGCCCAGTTTGAATGAATCCACTAGTATTTGCAGTCGATTACAAATGAGCCCCTTCTTTGGAGAAGGCCTTGTATTGATGTAGCAAATATACATCATATAGATTGCATTACATGGTAAAAGTTACATATACAGGTTTGTTTGGCCTGAAGGACCGTGGTCGGCAGGAGACCGGAGTCGGCAGG